TTTCAATTTAGTCTTAGTTTTTCCAGTATATTTAGTTTTAGTTCGATCACAGCTTAAAACTATTTCTCTTTTCTTCTTCTTCTTCTTCTTGTTCTTCTTTTTTTTTTTTTTTTTTTTTTTTTTTTTTTGCGGAATTGAGGAAAAAATCCCAGATCCAAGGCTGCTGAAAAGTGACTGGCCTCTTTTATCACAATCTCTTCATCCTTGGCTCTTTGAGAGAGAGAGAGTAGATTACAGTAATGCAAAACGAACCTGCAATAAAGGATGTTGAGCAAACATAGCTGTTGGAGAGAGAGAGAGAGAGAGAGAGAGAGAGAGAGAGAGAGAGAGAGTGTGTTCAGTAAGGAGGATTCTAGGATTCTTGGTCTTCTAACTCTCTCCTCTGGGTCACACCCAGGGATTATAGGCTTTCTTAGTACACCATCATTGAGAGAGTGAGAGAGTGAGCCTTTTTTCATTGAGACATCGCATTAAAGCAGAAAAAGATTGCCTGTGTATGTCACTGCATGTCTTGATGACTATTTTGTTGTATGTGTGTTTGGAATATGAGGTAAATGTCTAGATTTAAGTCGCAGTGTTGGCTGAAATAAGGGGAAATTCATTTTCAAATAGAAAGATTAAAGGCTGAGCATACGGAATGAGTTTAGATATCTTTTCATTGTGAATGTTTCTGAGCTGCTATACTCTTGTAGAATGTTTTTATAATAGCACATCAGGAATTATTAGCACATCAGGAATATATTTCCATATTTTCACAAGATGGTGCCATGTTAAAGTACAGGGATAATTCTAAAACACTATATTCAGATGAGATGATACACGAGTCTGAGATGTATGACAGTAGATCCAACATTATAGTCGACAACCTATGGAAGCTTGTTTCCGCCACTGAATAAAAAATATATAAATAAATAATTGCGACTTTTATCTCACAATTGTGAGATATGAAGTCAGAATTGTGAGATATAAAGTCAGAATTGCGTGATATAAAGTCAGAATTGCGAGATATAAAGTCAGAATTGCGAGATATAAAGTCAGAATTGCGAGATATAAAGTCAGAATTGCGAGATATAAAGTCAGAATTGCGTGATATAAAGTCAGAATTGCGTGATATAAAGCCCAATTCTGAGAAAAAATGTCAGAAGTGCGACTTTTGATCTCACAATTTTGACTTTTTTCTCACAATTGCGAGTTTATATATCGAAATTCTGACATCTTTTCTCAGAATTGTGAGATATAAACTCGCAATTGTGACTTAGGCCAATTCTAAGGGAAAAAAAAACCCTAACTTTTTTCCCCCTCAGAAAGTTTATATCTCACAATTCTGACTTTATATCACGCAATTCTGACTTTATAACACGCAATTGTGACTTTATATCTCGCAATTGTGACTTTATATCACGCAATTCTGACTTTATAACTTGCAATTGCGACTTTATATCTCGCAATTCTGACTTTATATCTCACAATTCTGACTTTATATCTCACAATTCTGACTTTATATCTCGCAATTCTGACTTTATATCTTGCAATTCTGACTTTATATCTCGCAATTCTGACTTTATATCTCGCAATTCTGACTTTACATCACGCAATTCTGACTTTATATCTTGCAATTCTGACTTTATAACACGCAATTCTGACTTTATTTCACACAATTCTGACTTTATAACACGCAATTCTGACTTTATATCTCGCAATTCTGACTTATATCACAATTCTGACTTTATATCTCCCAATTCTGACTTTATAACACGCAATTCTGACTTTATTTCACACAATTCTGACTTTATAACACGCAATTCTGACTTTATATCACGCAATTCTGACTTTATATCTCGCAATTCTGACTTTATATCTCGCAATTCTGACTTTATATCTTGCAATTCTGACTTTATAACACGCAATTCTGACTTTATTTCACACAATTCTGACTTTATAACACGCAATTCTGACTTTATATCTCGCAATTCTGACTTTATATCACGCAATTCTGACTTTATTTCACACAATTCTGACTTTATTTCACACAATTCTGACTTTATTTCACACAATTCTGACTTTATAACACGCAATTCTGACTTTATTTCACACAATTCTGACTTTATAACACGTAATTCTGACTTTAGATCTCGCAATTCTGACTTTATATCTCGCAATTCTGACTTAATTTCACACAATTCTGACTTTATAACACGCAATTCTGACTTTATATCACGCAATTCTGACTTTATATCTCACAATTCTGACTTTACATCACGCAATTCTGACTTTATATCTTGCAATTCTGACTTTATTTCACACAATTGTGACTTTATTTCACACAATTCTGACTTTATAACACGCAATTCTGACTTTATTTCACACAATTCTGACTTTATAACACGCAATTGTGACTTTATATCTCGTAATTGTGACTTTATATCACGCAATTCTGACTTTATATCTCACAATTCTGACTTTATTTCACACAATTCTGACTTTATAACACGCAATTCTGACTTTATTTCACACAATTCTGACTTTATAACACGCAATTCTGACTTTATTTCACACAATTCTGACTTTATCTCGCAATTCTGACTTTATATCTCGCAATTCTGACTTTATTTCACACAATTCTGACTTTATAACACGCAATTCTGACTTTATATCTCGTAATTGTGACTTTATATCTCACAATTCTGACTTTATATCTCGCAATTCTGACTTTATTTCACACAATTCTGACTTTATAACACGCAATTGTGACTTTATATCTCGTAATTGTGACTTTATATCACGCAATTCTGACTTTATTTCACACAATTCTGACTTTATAACACGCAATTGTGACTTTATATCTCGTAATTGTGACTTTATATCACGCAATTCTGACTTTATTTCACACAATTCTGACTTTATATCACACAATTCTGACTTTATAACACGCAATTCTGACTTTATATCTCGTAATTGTGACTTTATATCTCACAATTCTGACTTTATATCTCGCAATTCTGACTTTATTTCACACAATTCTGACTTTATAACACGCAATTCTGACTTTATATCTCGTAATTGTGACTTTATATCTCACAATTCTGACTTTATATCTCGCAATTCTGACTTTATTTCACACAATTCTGACTTTATAACACGCAATTGTGACTTCATATCTCGTAATTGTGACTTTATATCTCGCAATTCTGACTTTATATCACGCAATTCTGACTTTATTTCACACAATTCTGACTTTATATCTCGCAATTCTGACTTTATTTCACACAATTCTGACTTTATAACACGCAATTGTGACTTTATATCTCGTAATTGTGACTTTATATCACGCAGTTCTGACTTTAACTTGCAATTGCGACTTTATATCACGCAATTCTGACTTTATATTTTGCAATTCTGACTTTATAACACGCAATTCTGACTTTATATCTCGCAGTTCTGATTTTATATCTCGCAATTGCAACTTTATATCACGCAATTTTCTGACTTTATATCTAGCAATTCTGACTTTACATCTCGCAATTCTGACTTTATTTCTCAGAATTGCGAAATGTAAAGTCAGATTTGCATGATATAAACTCGCAATTGTGAGAAAAAAAGTCAGAATTGTGAGATAAAAAGTCGCAATTACCTTTTTTTTATTTTTCATTCTGTGGCAGAAACAAGCTTCCATAACAACCAGCTGAATTGTAAATAATAAATGCATCCAGGAATCACATATATTTGTTGGATTGCAATATGTTTACACCACTGAAATGTTTGGCATTCAATAACTCAATTCAGAGCCAGACATAAAGATTTGACCAAAAACAAAACACAAACCAGCCATTGGTCATTTAACCAGCCACTGGTCAATGCTATATGGCGTTGGAAGTGTTTGTTCTTGTACATTTTAGGGATGATTCATGATCTATCTCCGTTGTGCCCTTGGCGAAGGCACTTTAATGTTTGTTTGCGTGGAGGTAGACCTCAACATGGGTTTATTTCATGCATTAGGAATCATTTTAATCATATTTATCTCTGTAATCCAATATTGAAAATAAGAGCACCCACACAGTTAACATTCACAGTCACACACACAACCCCATATGCATATTTCTTTTATTTGTGTTTGTATGTTCTCGTCACTTCTTAAAATTGGATGATGAATAATGTATTTTTAGTGTGTGGGTTGAAAATTCACGCTTTCCGAAATAATATTGGCAATTTTTTTTTTGCAACAGCATGATATGAGAGAGCGAGCGAGATAAAAGAAAAGGTTTTGGATGTTATGCTTCGGTCTTCCGTCAGCTCGCTTTCTGATTGAGTGTCGTTTCGTTCCATGTGACAATCTACAGTGTGTTTTTCTTTGAGGTTCCCCCTACACAACAGAATTTCTGATTGTAAATATTCAACAATTTACTACTTGAGATCAGTGCAGCCCAGATGTTCTTCTTACCAGATTCAATCACTCTTAACACTACTCTTGCCATAAGAAAATCTGATAAAATAATAAGAACCATCAAGATAATCGGGAATTTACCAAGGATTGTCAGAAGGGGAGGATTGGTTACAAAATCGACCCTTTATAGAGTGTGAGAGCCTTTAGCAGTTCAGATACATTTCTTAATGGCCTCTTACAAGACTCTAATTAGCCTCATTTCTAACTTTCATATATGGCCTTCCTTCTCTTTTTATTATTCCAAAGCAGTATTTTCTCACCCACTATCTCATCAATACTCTCACATACTTCCAACTGACACTTCCCACAGCACACACACCAACAATTAGACTTTATAATGCATCATTTCTGTCAGGGGATCTCGAAGTCCAAGGCATATTGATCTCCTAAGCTGTCAGGACAGAATGCCGTCCGTATCCGGGTAAAGCCAAACAGTAGATTGAAGATTTAAGCTTTCAAGGGACCTCAACCAAAGGTCAATTTCTGCTGGGGCTTCGTGGTGCAGATAACAGCTGACCATCTCCTAACGTTTATGTCTCTTTCTATCTCTTTCTCTCAGTTATAATAAAAGAACGGTGGGCAATGGAGTCCGTGCTCAAGAAAATAATCCAGAAGTAAGGGTCCGAAGTGTTGACCCGGTGCTTATGGATGTCAAAAACAAACTCGAGCTCTTCAACATGGTAAGGAATATTATGATTCGCTGATGATATTTCACATATCTGCCACATCTTAAAATAATAGTTCACCCAATAATACACATTCTGTCATAATTTTCTTGCTCTCATGTAATTTCAAATCTGTTAAAGGTACAATAGGCAGGATTTTTAGACAGTTAAGCTAGATTAACATTAGTGAAAAACATACAGATCATATTCTAACTTTTCATCATTTTGAACTACATAACACTGATTAGTTTTATGTACATTTGCTCACCTGTCTAATAAAGTATGCAACACTCGCATCTCTGTCGAGTCGAAGTTAGTCGCGTGCGTGGAGCTCTCGGCATCTGGAAAGATGTTGATCTTCGTTTTAGTCCTCTTTTTGTCTCAAAGTCTGCTTGCCATTGTCCATAATGTTTGAACAAAATAACAACAGTGTGAGCGTCCTTCTAGGCATAACGGGCATAACCAATTGACAATGTCTGTCGCCATGGTTACTATTGCAGTATGAGGTCAAACCTGGCGGAAATCCAGGGTAATGCGGACCTCTGCTCACATGCCCTGTTTCTTTGGTTAAAATCGCAATTTTCTCCTGATTTACAAATAGTTGTAAACATTTGGGATATTGTTAGCCTGACTTCATCATACTTCGTCATATTCTTGTCAGAATGTGAGTCTGAAACTGCTTTTGATTGGCCCGATCCCTGGCTGAAACTGCTCCCTGGCAATTTGATTGGCCCGATCATTTTTTGACTGATCATAATTTCTCCTCAATGGATCGAGTCCAGACCGAACTTTCCAACCAAAAAATGTTGTGGGCGGGGTTTGGGCTGGTATCCAGGCTAGGATATTGTAAGAATCAACTAAACAAAATATATAACATTGGCCTAGTGGTTTTTGGATATTTTACTGCAAAAATCCTGCATATTGTACCTTTAACATTTCTTTCTTCAGTGAAACAGAAAAGAAGATATTTTTAACAATCAAATATTAAAAATATATTCTTTTTTATTTCACAGAAGAATATTGAAACACAGAAAATCAACGAATCAACTTATGTTGTAAGGCTCGTCGCCTTCAATTATGAATTACGCTCGTTCCTGTTGCGTGTCCTCAATCTGACAGTTGACGGCACCCATTGATTTCCATTGAAGGAGAAATAAATACTATGGAAGCCAATGGATGCAACCACCTGTTTGGTAACAGTAAATGTTGTAAATGATGACAAAATTTTCATTTTTGGATGAACTATCCCTTTAAGACCACTAAATGCAAAACACTAATACACCGCAGTCTGAATAAATGTGCTGATGCCTTCAGAAACTTCTTCCTGTTGTTGTGTTCTCATTCTGATTGACCTGATGGAGCAGGCATGCATTAACAGCGTGGCACAGAAAACAAGGGCAGATGGTTCTTTTTCAGATGTGAATTAAACAATAAGTCTTGATGTTCTTCAAAATGAACTAACAGATGAAACGTCCACCTAATTACCGGCACCCGGTACACACTCTGAGACGTGTTTTTACCACTTTGACTGTGGAGGATGGGAGTTCTACATGTCACATGTGGAAGTCAGGCTGATTCGGATGGGAAGTAAAGGATTAAACAGGAGAAATGAGGACTGGCAGGGGGGCTGTAGAGGGAAGTCATCTGACTGTCTTGTGAACCGGTGAAATCAGGAAACAAGTGTGAGAACATAGCGGACTAATACACACATACAGTATATACACAACGGCTTTGGAACACATGCATAGTTGTATTCGGTTTGATAATACATTGAAAAGGATCCAGTTAGTCAAAGTGATCATAAGCTGTAAATCGATTTAGTTATGCAGTGTTGCTAATATATAAACAGCTCCAGTTATGTTTATTAGTTCGTTATTATCTATTTTTCTATTGATTTGAATAAGAAAAACATGATGTAGAATGGAAAATGGTATTGTTTTGTTAAAGTCAATTTACGGTTCTGGGTTTGACTGTTTTGTTCGGTCTCAACTGATATCTGTCATATCTGATAGCCATCAGATCACTTATTTGCCTTTAAACTAACAGAGAAATGAAATCATTTATGGAAAATTACTGATAAGGGAAGAACATAAGTTTATTGTATGTCTCTCTCTCTCATATTCACCCCTGTTTCACCTCGATAAAGTTATGAATTTCTTTTTCCCAGATGGTGAGAGATTTCTCAACAGAAATATTTGATTTCCTATGCTGATTAAGAATAGTTAAAAGCACCAGAGTTGTTTTCTAGTGTTACAGAGAAGAGAAGAGGGGCGTATGTGGTTAAAGAAACGGAGAGAGTGACAGAGAGAACGAGAGAGCTGAAAAGAGCAGAGGTTCAGAAAACAGGGCATGTTGGATGGTAAAGCGCTGTTTTTGTCATGCTAATATCAGGACGGACACTGAAAGACTTTCAGAAGAAAAGATGATTTTCCCAGAATCCCCTGAGGCGCTGTGTGGCAACAGTCTGTCCAACCTCTCACTTTGAATCAATCTTTCTTTCTTTCTTTCTTTCTTTCTTTCTTTCTTTCTTTCTTTCTTTCTTTCTTTCTTTCTTTCTTTCTTTCTTTCTTTCTTTCTTTCTTTCTTTCGTAGATTAAACTCTATAGATTAAATAGATTAAACTCTATTTAATTCACTCTTTATTTCTTTATTTTAGTCTTTCCTTTTCTATGTATCTATATTTAACTCTTTTCTCTTCAGCTCTTTCTAATGCTCTTTCTTTATCCTTTATTTGATCTGCTCATACTTTCCATTGCAGTTTCCTTCTCACTTTCTATTTTGTGCGTTCATTCATTCATTCCTTTTTTTGCACCTTCTTTTGGAGTGATAGTAAAATGGTTCAGTGTGCCTCAGGCTACGTCCACATTAATCCGGATACATTTAAAAGTGCCGTTTTTGCTTTAAAACGCTCTCCGTCCACACTAGCGTTTTCATGCGTTTTCCGACGTTTCAGTGTGGATGAGAAACTTCTAAATTCACCTAACTGCGCATGCATGAAACCACCTCACAAAAGCTCTCCGAGGTGATACAGATGGAAAAATAAATAATAAAGTTATCACGCAATTTTTTAAACAGCACAATTTTATGTAGCAAAATATCTCACCATCACTGACGCGTCCAGGTCACATGCACTCAGTCCCCATATGTTTGGTCTAAAACGCAACTGCTCTCCTGCATTGCCGCGGGACAGCAAATGTGAGTACATTATCTGTCATCTGTGCAGGACTGTGATATGAAGAGTGTAGCAACAGTGTAAAAGTGAATAGCACAATACCGGTAAACATGAATATCTATTGGTACACCATCACATGACTAAACTTACGTCATCGTTTTCAAATACCTCCGGGTTCACAGTCCACACTACAACGCGAAAACAGCATTTTCAAATTTATCCACTTTGGAGAGCGTTTCCCAAAAGCTACGTTTTCATTGACTTAAAACACCATCTCAATGTGGACGGAAGGCCAAACCGGAGAGAAAAATGCACGTTTTTAAACGAAAGCGTATTAGTGTGGACATGGCCTCATACACACATACTGTAGACTCTCTCACACCAACCCGGTCTCATCCCAAGACGTCATATAACTGACGTTTTGGGACGCCTTTTGACCATACGTCAATATTCGCCTTTTTAGGGCCCCCTTAAACGTCGGTAGATGAGGTTATGGGATCCTAACTCTACCCCATACCTAAACCTAACCCGTCACCTAACTGACGTTAAAGGTAAAGCGTCAGTTGTATGACGGCCCGGGATCACCATCTATCGACGTTTAAGGGGGCCCTAAAAAGGCGGATATTGACGTACGGTCAAAAAACGTCCCAAGACGTCAGTTATATGACTTTTTGGGATGAGACTGTGTTACTCACACACTCATATCAGTGACTTAATGTGTGTATAAAAGTGTAAGTCAAGAGGCTTGAGGTGATTTCCTGGTTGTCATTGATAGTCACTTACTTGAAAACTGTCAGGGAAGTTTTTTTTTTCACTCTAGTAGCTCGAAATCATTTTTAGAGACGTATTCTTTGCATCTTTTGTGTTGCCCCTCCTGTTAAAGCTTAATAAATATGTCTAATTCCCCGTAAATATCCCTGATGGAATCTGGAGGACAGGCCAGCGGCACAGCTGCTTTTGGGTGTGGAGACTCAATAGCATCTCTGTTCTTATGGTGTGTGTTTTTCAACACTCATGTCATGAGTGTAAAAGTGGACTGTACGGAGAAGAGGTTTTCACTTTTAGACCAGGCTTTGCTAGTGTTGACCTGCGGGCACTACTGTTCTCTAACACCTGCTGTTTAAAAAGTCTGCATTACAGAAAACTCATTTATTAGCCATCCTATTTGGACTGCCAGTACATTTGTGTGGATTTTGCTCTGGAGCTACCACATCAATAAAATAAATAGTTCACCCAAAAATGAAAATTCTGTCAGATATTTTTTCACTCTCATGCTGTTCCAAACCTGTATGACTGACTTTCTGCCATGGAACATGAAAGGAGAGGTTTGGCAAGAGGCTTTCTTTTAAAACAATGAATGTAAGTGGTAAAAAACTGGATAGCTTTGTGTGAGGTATAGGGCCAAATATACTAAACCAGGCAAATCAGTGTGAGAGCGCAATTCCAAAAAAAGGAAAATATAAATATTCCCTCTTAATGGAAAAGTTAATTTTTGACCCACATATTATTGTGTTTGTGCTGAATACAGTGCTATAATTAACTCAAATAAGCACAAATGTCAGAGCATGTCAAAACACCCCCAGAGCCCGGAAAACACATCAGACCCCAGGAGGTTACATTGTTTATTATGTGTATATTCAAATTTGTTTAAATTACACATGAAATGTTGGAGCTTTGGGGCAGGGATAGTTTTTCTCTTGAGTAAGTTTCGTATTGACTCATTGCTTCAAATATAGTGCTTGGGTCCTTTTTTTTCTCGTTTTTTGGAGTTTGACAGCATGATTGCATTAAATGTCAATGTATGTTACAGAACAGCATTGCCTTACATCTTCTTTTAAAGGAA